ACGAAACGTAGACCTCAAGATCTAGAATTGAAACTTACCGTTCAAAGCAAGGATCTCTGCTTCTACTTTCTTCCCTTCCCACTTCACGTGAACGAGCATTCCCTCTGTGTAATGAACGTCTTTTTCGACAATCAATCGCGTTGGCGTGATCCCAGTTTTACGTTCTTTTGGAAAAAGAAACAATGCTTTCGAAGGACGTTTGCACGTTTCTTTGCACAATTGTCTGAGAGACATCACGTGAGTAAGATATAAAACTTGGAAGATTAGATCTGTTACTGACGGTAGCTAGCACAAATGTGAGAACTTTTGGTAACAGATCTCTTTTATATCTAACACTAGGGCGAGCGGATCCAAATTCCAGTGTCTTCATTGGATAAGTGGAGAGTAATTGTTTTTAAGCTTAGCATATCAACAGCCTACGACCGTGTTAATCAGCTTCATTACCAGGTCGCAAGTCATAAATTACAATATCAATGGCCCATCAACTGTGAACTTGTAAATTTTTTTCTTAGCGGCACCATTAACTATTATTCTATGAAAATTAATATGAAAGTGTTCATTGAAACGAAAGAAACAACAGGACAAATTTTTCTTTACAGGTGTCAGTCGGTCTGATTCAAAAACTTTACTAACAGGCATCGGTCTGCATTGACAAAATAATTGTTATTGAATGCCGGTCATTTGCCGCAGATTTACCTTTGGACAAGTTGCAGAAATTCTACAATAATTTTATTATGGCTGTTTCCAATTGAACGGGTCATGAACGGGTGAGTTTTTTTCGCCACGCAGAATATAAACAAACTTGTTCTAGACAAACAACAAAAAAAGAGCGATTAAACGCTTTGATGCTTTTAAATAAAAACTTGCTATGGCCATCACAAATGGAAAACGTGAATAGAAATAATGTTAAAAAGCTCAAATCACGACGAATAAATTGGCAGCGGTAAGTATTTTTGAATATCGAATTATGAATGAAAGTAAAGCTTCCATCATAGCAGACCGTTTTGAAACTAATTAATTGCGTAGCGTCACGTCGCCAGAGAAAACTTCGAGATGTCACGCTTGTCGTGATTCTCACCCGTGCTGGCCAACGAGCAACAAACTGTCGCTTCATAGAACTATGCCATAGTTGTACACTGTTCTTTGCAAAAAAATCTAAGGCCTTTTAAAAAATGTCGAGAGTTTTGGTTCACGAAAAATAAATCATCAGATAGTTGACTGAGTAGATGTTGGCCACGTGCTAGGCAACGAGTTTTGCAAGTGACTCAAATTTCATTCGCGATCGGAAACATCAGAAAGTGTTACTGGTCAAACCCTTTTCTCTTCGTTTGGTAGACTGTTTCCCGTGATTCTGGTAGCGGGTCATTAAACGAGTTAAATCGAAACTTCCACCAATAGTTTCTTAGTAGTTTACCTGGGATCAGAGGAACACATTTTCGACTCAACAATTGTGGTGAAACAGTTGTTTACACAAGGCAATATTAATTTTTGTCACTCTGTCAGACTTTTTTCGGTCGATTCTGAATTTCACGCTTCGTTCGAGATCAATGTTACGTTATGGCAAGAAAGCAACGAAGCTCGGCTAGAACAAGATTTCGCAAACTACCATTTCGTGTCTTTGTTTCGCAAACGACCGGCCACAAGGCACTGCATAAGGCCATCTGAACAGCGTAAAATTAATTATGATCCAAGGTGTTTGAATGAACGGTTCCAACTGATTGAAGTTTTGAATGGGTGGATAATTTTTCTGAATGGATGACCAAGTCGTTCGAATGGATTCAAATTTTTCTGAACGGGTGCCACAGCCATTTGAACGGATAGACAATTTTCCTGAACGGATGGCACAAGCCGTTCGAACGGATGGATGATTTTTGTGAACGGATGCAAATTTTTCCGAACGGGTACACTAGCCGTTCGAACGGTTGGGCAATTTTTGTGAACGGATGACACAGCCGTTCAAACGGCTTGACTTCCTTTTTAAACAGATCGCCCAAGCTGTTCGAACAGATGCAAATTTTTTCTGAATGGATGAGAAACGGCTTGTGAACGGATTTCCGTTCGAAAACGGGAAGCCGTTAGTGTACGTTTTCGCGTGAGAGGTCACATATAACTGGCTGGTAAGCCGTACAGTAGACTGTTACAGTAGTCTAGGCATCCAATTACTAGTGCTAAGATTAGTGTTTGTGCACTCTTGTACAAAAGGTGCTTTCTAATGCGTCTAATTTTGTACGGTGAACAAAAGGATAGACTACATGTTTTAGTAATGTGAACGTTAAAATTCAGCTGCGAGTCAAACCAAACTCCGAGATTTCGCGCCTTGTTTACAATAGCAACACTAGTATCACCAACAGTCAGAGTACCTAGGTTGACTTTGCTAAGTTGTTGGCGGGTTACGATTAACGTGACCTCAGTTTTGTTCTTATTAAGTTTCAGTTTGTCAGCTTGTATCCACGCCCTTATGGCGCGAATACACTGTTCCATGGCATGTACTGCCTCTGCT